TGATTGATAAACTATATGTGATCAATGAAAAATATAAATTGTGACAAAAAAATAATGGGTGACCTAAAAAATTGTTAATTTGTGATCGATAATTTGACAATTTGTGACCGTCTACTAAGTTGTGGCTTATAATATTTGTGATTTGTGATCGATAAATAAGTTCTGACACATAAATTTTTTTATTTGTGACCGATGAACATATTGTGACCTATAAAATTCTAAATTGTGACCGTAAAATAATTTGTAACCTATAAAGTTTCTGATTTGTGACTATAAAATAATTTGTGACTTATAAAATTTTTGATTTATAATCGATAAACAAATTGTGACATATAAAATTTTTGAATTGTGACCGTAAAATAATTTGTGACATTTTACCGATGAACAAATGTGACTTATAAAATTTTTGAATTGTGACCGTAAAATAATTTGTGACATGTAAAATTTGTGATTTGTGACCAATCACTACGCCAAAAATGAGCTTTTGCAACGGCCAAAAAACGCTGCAAAAGACCTTTTGCAGCTTTTTTCCAAGTGTTGCAAATGTCGGTGTTGCCGTAAAGGGAAGACTTTTTGCAGCGTTTTTTAAATGCTGCGGTAGACCCCTTTTGCAGCGTTTTTTAAACGTTGCGGTAGACCATTTTGCAATTTTTTTCAACGTTACGGTAGATCTCTTTTGTAGCGTTTTTTAAATGTTACGGTAGACCCTTTTGCAGCATTTTTTCAACGTTGCGGTAAACCGTTTTGCAGTGTTTTTTAAACGTTGCGGTAGAAATTTTTTTTTTTAACAGTTATGGTAATTGAGTAATTGATCCACAAAATTAAAAATAACACTTTGATAAGGAAAATTTTTGAGTTTATATGCAAATAATTTTATTGGTAGAATGTGTAGTTGAAAATGAGTACGAAAAAAATAAGTTATTGAATAATGGGATTCAAACATGGGCTAAATCTATTTTATTAATTCGTTGAATATAAAATTATTAAACAACACAATATATCACTTCAATGTTTATTTACTTATTTGTTTTATATATATCATGAAAATATTACAAGTAAAATAATGAATTTATGCTTGAAAGCATTTTCAAAACTCCAAAAACTTGGATTCACTACAAAAAAATAATAATAATAATTGGGCTCCGGCGACCTCATCTTTAGAGACCACACAACATTGGTTGGTATAAGACACTTACCACCTATCAAAAATTGGTTGGTAATGTTCTTGGTAGTTGGACTTCAAAATTGCACAGATAATTAATTAAAAGGAGTTCAATAGAAGTTGAAACCTGCAACTAGGACTGGACGTGGGTTGTGTTGGATCAATTTTTATCCATTCAAATCCAACACAACATGGTCGATTGGATTTATAATAAAACAAGTCAACCCAATTATTGGTTTAAACCCAATGCAATCCAAACCGATCAAGATTAGGTCGGTTTGGGTTTGGGTTTGGGTTTGAGCCCAATTCAAGATGGATTCGATTATTTTCTTTTTGTTGAATTTGAACAATTTTCTACAGTTTGAAACTACTTGAAAATTTTCGTTGTTTTTAACCTGCATAAGCTTGCTGAAAAGTAACATATAAATAAGTTTAAAACTATGAAATATTTTCTTTTTATAATTTTTTTTTTGGGATTATTCATTTCAATATCACGTATTGATCTCTTTAGTATCAATCATGTTCTATTCAAATTGATTTTTTTATATTATTTTGGAAAAATTAAATGAGCCCTTTTAAAATAAATAACTTATTTTTAACTTTCATAAAAATTATTTTTTTAAAAAAAATTATGGGAGAATTTTTTTTGTGGAAATTACACAAAATCAGTGTTTTCAAAATTCAATTTCATATATCAGATATCAAGTTTTACTTTTCAAAAATCAGATATTTCATTTTTATACAAATCATAATTATACAATCCTCTCCATCTCCATCTCCATCTCCATCTCCATCTCTCTCCTCAGTCTCGACTTTCTCTACCTTCCCCACCCTTAACTATTCCGACGCCACACCCACCCACCTCCTCATCCGGCACCGGACCCCATCATTTCACTGCGCGATGAAGCCGTTGTAGAAGCGGCGCTGTGCATGCGAACGACGACGACGAGGCTACTGTAAACTCGTAGCAACGTTGTCTGGCGGTGCACTCGTTGCCGCCGCAAAAAATAACCGCCATTTATCACCGTCGTAGCGTAGCCGCTGTGAGATTGTCGTGTGTAGCGAAGGGTCGCTCGTACAGGACCACCGTTGTGGCTCCATCAGACCCCCCGCATATTCCATGGCTCCTTCAGATTCGTCAGATCTAAAGCCCAAACTAGAAAACATTAGCCGACAATGGTGGAGGAAGATTGGTGATTTTCCTTTTCTTTTCTTTTTTTTTTTTATGTATTTTTGGTTTTGTTTGCAAATGGTTGTGTTTTAGTGGTGCTTGTTGTGGTGTGGTAGTGGTGTTGATGGTTGTTCAGTGGTGGTTAGATGATAGTCGTGGAGGTTATTGGTGGTGATGGC